TCTTTTCTTTCTTTCTTTCTTTCTTTCTTTCTTTCTTTCTTTCTTTCTTTCTTTCTTTCTTTCTTTCTTTCTTTCTTTCTTTCTTTCTTTCCTTCTCTCTTTCTTCTTTTGGAGAAGAGGGTCTCCACTCCTCCCCATCTCCTCCCACCGAGTCCCTGAGTGCCTGTGAGAACTAGAGGAGTCATCAATGGAAATAAACAGGACCCCCACGCCATTCCCCGCCCCCTTCAAGCAAGAAAAACCCTCCCTGGGTTCACTCAAGTAGAGATAAAACAGATAAAGCATCCCTCCCTCCCAAGGGAACTGTTGCTGAGGATTGGATGCGTTTGAATTGTTTTATTATCCTGAAAGAGTGATGGATGGGAGCAAGAAGCAATGCGAATACGGAGCAGAGTGTGCTGGGGAGGTCGGTATTTATTATTATTCATTATTAAGTATTAAGAGTGCTAATAAGGCCATCACCCTCGCTGAAGTCTGTGTTTACACCCACTTGGTTTTATGTCAATCTCCTATTACAGTGGTTTCCGAAAGAGCCAACACCACAACTGTATTCATTTCCCCACACTCATTCCACATATGGGACTAATCAACTGTCAAAAAAGATACTGTCATTTTACCAGTTTTAACGCGTGAACTTGCAGAGGGCTGCCGCCCTACGAAATGTCATTTTCATCACTTTGCCTTTTCAGAGTTTAAAAAACTTGGCAACATAATTAATTATGGTCCCAATTCCCATTTTCAATCTAAACCTATATTCAGGATTATATTAAAATATCCCATCACTCATTCTCTAAAAGTGACTCGTGAAATTACATTCCAGTTTGGGGGATGGTGGAGCAACTGGGAATGCTGGGCCCCCCGAAGTTAGACAGATTAGTACTGTTTCAAATTTCCATCAGAAACTCTTCTTCTGGGGGCTGGAGAGACGGCTCAGAGGTTAAGAGCTTTGGATGCTCTTGCAAAGGACATCAGTTCTGTACCAGCACCCGCAGTGATCAACTCACAACTCCCTGCAAGTCCCTGTGTCCTCCCTGGCACCTGCCCTTAAGTGCTCATGTGTGTGCATACGCACACATGCACAAAAATTAAAATAAATAAAACTTTAAAACTCTTTTTCCCCTGTCTAAAAAAACCAAAACCAAACCAAACTAAAACAAGAAAACAAAACTCTCTTTTCCTTGATAGAGAGCCATTACCCATTCCTTCTCTGTATGGTTCTTTAGTGACTGTCCTTAATCGTCACCATACACTGGAAACCTAACAGCTTGCAGCTTTGTCTGTATTCCTATTTTCATTTTTATGTCAGGGCCTCTTACTCATTAAACTTTTATGTCAAAAACTCCAGCTCATGGAAGCAACACTCTTTTAATTAGGAACTATAGTTTTAAAAAAAAGGAGCTGGAACTCTGTAACAGGCCTAAATTGCTATGAATTATATGTGGCTTAAGTTATGCATTTATTTCAGCAGGAACGAAAACATCTTTTAATCACTTGCACATACAGCTTTTATCTCTAAGGATGAAACAAAAAGTGTCATTTCAAACCATCCCTGTATGAACAAGAGAAGCCTCACCCTTACTTTATTTGTCTCGGGTCTTAGCATTCATGTGCTAAGGTATGAATCTTAGAGAGAAAAACCTCGAGTCCTAACTTTGTTATATGGTACAGGGGAATGCAACAACCCCAGGAGCCAAAACAGGTTGGCCTTAGGGGTTACTTAGAGATTTTTCACTTGGCCCTTTTGACTTGAGGTTTTCTTGCATGGATTTAATCAACCAGACTCTGCCTGTTGTGTGTGTGTGTGGGGGTCAGAATGCTCTACTTTAAAGCTGACTATATTACTCCCCACCCTCTCCAATCACTGTGGTTAGAACGAGGGCTTTTCAAGTTAACACAGGGACAGATGAGGAGTGATTATCAGAAAACTCGAAGAGTATGTGGATCCCGCATAATTGCACAGATTCTATTATTTTAGTGTCCTGTCCTCTTTTTCTCTGTGATGAGGTTGTTGATACTTTCTCATAAATATTCCTTTTTTCCCCTCTGTTTTCTTGTCATGTCTTGTTTGAGAACTGTGACCCCACAGAAGCACCCAGTTAAGGAATCATCCCTACTAATTACTAGGAAGGACATAAGTGGCACAGTCCTTCGTGCTGCTTCAAAGACAAGCACAACCAACACAAAGTCATCCCAACAATTCATGGATCCTTGAAACAATTTCTATGGTCTCTAAGCATTTACTTTGGGATGATTATTCTGAAAAATGTAATTTATCCATTGCCTGTCGGCTTGTCCCTTTTATGTGTAGACACAGCACAGCTGAGTTGTTTAAAAGTTAACAACATACAGCATTTGCTTTAAAACTGATCTTAGAGTATGACTCTGCTAGTATTTAAATACCTCTCCTCACAAAAAAACAAAACAAACAAAACAAAAAAAACTCTGTATTAAGGCTAGAGAGACAGCTCGGTGATTAAGAACACTCGTCGCGCTTGCAGAGGACCTGAGTTCAGTTTTCATAACTCACCTAGAGGTTTACAGCAGTCTACAATTCCAGGTCCAGGGAATCCAATGCGTTCTTTTGACCTCTGAGGGCAGGAGGCACGTGTGTAGTACATATACATATGCACAGGTAAAACGCTCATACACATATCATAAAGTAAATACATCTTTTAAAAATACTATGCGTTTTATGCCCTGTAGTCTGGAGGGTGTCTACTTCCTACGTATTACGAGTGATAAAAAATAATAAAATGATAAGATGTATAGAGTCAAGCTTCCTTGTTGATTTCCATCTAGAAAGAAAAGTAAATACAGGAAATATAGTAGTTTGTTGTGTCACATGGTAGTACATAGACCATAATTTCAGAGTGTGCGGCACAACATTTTAGTGTGTTTGTGCAGATTCATATATCTCTTGACACTTCTGAGATGTCACCTGGCACTTGCCCAGGGCTGCTCAGAGAAGTCTGTTGTAGGCTGCTTCCTTCTTAAGTTGCAAATCTAGAGAGACCCATACCTTCCCTCTTCCTTTGCAGTGTAATGAAAACCTGCAAAGGCTAACTCCACAAATTTCACTCTTTTGAAATATAGATAATATAAATGTCCCAAATACAAAAAAAATGCTTGTTTTGCACTTTACAATTTAAGAGTAGAACATTTGATGGGTGTGGAATAAGGCACAGCATATCTCTGTGGACTCACGCCTTTGGGATGAAGAAACAGGTCTGGCCACAGAATAGCTGAACACTGGGTCCCGCTGCAGTGTCACTGTTACCAAGGAACTCACTGAGCGAGATTCTATCTACGCTTCCCTTTAAAGTCCATGGTTCTCAGCACTGTAACAAAGGCACCGAGAGTCGCAGGACTGAATCTTGTCGTTCTTTCAATCTTTTAGAAATAGATTTTGCTTAGTTGGTAAATAATTTGAGTTTTTCATTTGCCAGTCTTTCCTACTTGAAATTTGAATGACACATATTTACTATTTTACATATATTTTCCAAAGTGTATTAGTCTCCCTGGTAAAAACTCTGAAGCGAGTATTCTCTTTTGAAGAAAGACGATACAGTCCCAAAGCAG